TTATTTCATTTATTAACAACCATTGTTTTGCCAGTAAAGGCATCATTAGGTACCTGATGATGCCTTTACTGTAAAAAAATCATGGTCATTAGTAAATGAAGTATTTGTGAAATGTACAATTGTCCTTGTTTCTTCCCTCAATCCTGAAATCATAGCTAAATAAACTGAAAAATGAATAAAAATAAAAAAAGTGAACAGTAAAGAAAACAACTAAACAAATTTAAACTTTACTTGATTTTTCTGATGCTTTACCAACTTTCAGCACTTAAACTGTAACTTGTAAAGTATTATACTACATATATAAATAGTGTTTCAGAGAAACTTCTGCCTCTCATTGTCCAGCCTAACCAAATAGTTCTGGTACTAAACAAAATGTCTCTGAAGCAGTGACATAAGGTAAGTAAAAGACAGATCTGAAAAGGATCAATTAAGGAAAATGTGGAAAAAATCTGCAGCTTGTTACTTTTATTACACACTTTAGGCCCATAAGCATAGAATAACAAAAGTGCAAGCAGATTCAAATGAAATTGTGAAATAAGCCAAATATATCTATAGAGGGAGAAACTGAAATCAAGTAATTGCTTGTTTGTTTTGAATTTCATGCAAAGCTACTTCAGGGCTAGCTGCACTAGCCCTCCCTAATTTAGAAATGATACACTAGAGGGAAAGCAGCTAGTCAACATCACCCACAGCACTACACTAATCAAATAGTGGGATTGACTGTCACACTATAGTGAGCTCATGACTGAAAGGGCAAATTTGACCCAAGGCCTGCACATTTTAAGTTGTGCATTCAAACCACTAGGCCACACCTAGCCTAAAATCAAGTAAGAATTAATGAAATTCACACTGGAAATTCAATCCAAATTCAATGAAATTCAATCCAAAGAGAGAAAGAAAAAATAATGAAGAAAATACACGTGTTACATATCTGCTTGTTTGTTAATTTCTGGTATAAATTCTTTCTGAGGAACTTCAGTGATACAAGTCCTTTCTTAATCAAACCAGTTTATTTTTCCTCAATACAACTTTGTAATACTCAGAATTTCGAATCAGTTTAAAGAGACAATAAAACCTCCAGTTGGCCAAGATGATACCTTCTTCCATGGCAGTGGGATGATAGGTTAACAGGCTCGTCCACTTGTCAAAAAGCATGGTATACAGTGATCAAGAATCTGACATTATATACTAAATGTTATGATAAAAAACTACATGTCAACTCACTTTATGATATGTAAAAAGTTCGGCAGTAAGCAACGTAAGGTTAAAAGCCACAACCATTTAAGTTACAAACTGATCTTTTCTGTGAAAAAGTTATCCAGTGGGATGTAAAATCTCAAAATATGAACGTAAATGAACTCATCTCTCTACTATACTTGTTCTAAGCACTAGTGAATGTCCAATCCACATAGCTTTGATGAGTACAACCATATCACATGCACACCAGTTCTTCCACAACTGTCTGGTAGCAAAAGCAGAATGCAAATGTCAGACGGAATGGGGCAAACTGCAAAGCAACATATATTGGTAACTAAAGCTTAGCAGACTGTTTACAAGAAAGTTTCTAAACTGAAAGATTTCATAACCTGTTAGTTCACCAGACCAACTTGCTTTATGAAAACAAGGTAAACATAATTTGAATAAATATGTACAATTATACCCGATTTCACAAATAAATCTAGAATTATTTTTATGTAGCCACCACAAAAATTGTCATAACATTATAAATAAATGTAGTTAATACAATATGTGTATAGAACAATATTTTACAAAAATAATATTGAGATAAGGTATTCAGTAACATCCACAAAGTTTGGAAATAGTTAAATTGTATAAAGCAATCTTATTTTTAATTCAAAATTACTTGAAAACAGTAGTTACATTATGATATTTTTGTTATTTCTATTGTAAGGAAATTCCAGATGCAACAACTATAAAATATTCATTCACCAACATTAATTAAGATAATTTCTTCCATTAGGTACGGCATACATTATCAAGTCTTTCTCTACATGGAAAATCACATACTAATGAATATCTCAGTTTAACATGAAACCAATAACATGCATTACAAAAACATAAAATGTGATTTAAACAAAGAGTTTTTAACTAACAAGTCCAGCTTTGTTTTTCACTGAATTATAAGTGTTTGATGTGGTAGTGTTGAGTTCATACTTCAGTCGATAAGCGAATCTCACCGTGAAAATTGGCAATACCATGAAATATGGGAAACTGGTGACTCCCATGCTCTGAAAGAGAACATGAATGTGCTTATGTGACTGATTGCATGTTAGATAGGTGCATGTGCGATTAATCCTTAGCATGCAGGCAGGTCAAACTGCACGTCATGCCGTTTAAGTGAGTTACATTCAAAATGTAATTAAATTACTTAATTATCAAGGTATACGAACAAACGTGACATCAAACCATAGATAATAAATCAAATTTTAATATTACATAACTTTTAAGTTCTTAATTAGAAAAGGAAATATTTATAAATAACCTCAAATTTCCTTAGTGTGAGAATTTGAATATTTGTTCTTGAGCCGTCTCCTCTTCTGGATTTTTTTGGTCACCCTCTAGAAAACTACGAAATGTAACGTAAAATATTCTCCATAATTTTATCATCAATATTCTGAAGCTATATTTTTATATTCTTCAATCTTATGGAGTTAAAGAGCAATCAATGAAAATTCAGAAACCACTTTCCACACCTACCTCCAATATGCTCTAATTTACAATTTGCTAATAGATTTTTCTGAGGCAGACTCCCATTAAAATTATAACCAATAGAATGCCTAGATTTCAACTAATTCATTGCCATAGTCATCACACCATGTGGGCTTACAGATAACTGACAATATGATTTGTTGTGAAATCAAATTTTCTCACGAGAACACACTGGGAAGAATAGTTGAATTTCTAACTGTTCAAGTCGCATGACTAGAGATGCTCGAGTACTGGTACCATTACCAGATACCTGGTACTATTGCAAACCCTGGTTCAAAGTTGAATTAATAACATTATCAAGTGCTGATATCATAAACTATGGCAATGTTAAATGTTATAACAAAACATAAGATTTGTTGTTCCATTATTCATCTTTCAGCATTTTAATACAATAGGATTGCATAATTTTACATCGTAAAACAAAACAGTATTAATTAGCATTAGTTCATTCAAATGTCTCAAACATTTTAATGTATATTTAGTGCATTTTTTAATTATCATATAAAGAATAATAAACTGACGTAACCAAAAATTAACTTTTCAGTTGTCAGTAAAGTTTTTAAAAACAGCATTATTTGTAGAGAAATCTAAGACTAAATATAAAAAGAAATCAACACAGTCATGTCCTTGTGAAGTACTATACATATTATTTTGTATTCATTTTCAAAACAAAAGCTATTTTTTAAATAATATACTTGATACAACATTTCAGATCAAGAATTTTAAGTTTATTAGTAACATTACAGTTTTTACATTAAATGCACAGTATAATCTCAAACAGAGTAAGCGTACATAAATGTTGTCTAGTCTTGAAAAAAACAAAAAATTAAAAGCATGAAATGCAACCAATTTTGATCTTTTTTGTAATACTAGAACTGTTTTCTTAATTAAATAAAATTGAAAAATATGTGCAAAAAAATTTTACCCAGTGAGTCAAAAGTCCTGATTTTTCCCATCATTGTGAAGTAAGTGTGGAATATCAAAAATCTGTTGATATAGGGTGTTTAGGCATACTGAGGGCCATTTGTTACCTGTCATGATGACATAAAATTCAAATCAAGGTCAGTCAAATGATAACTTTGAAACTATCAGTCTGTGGTAAAATGTGTTAATACATATTGTTGCGTCAGCGAGGTCATGTGACTAGTGTCACGCCACGTATTTCTAGAAATATCCTGTTCCTTCGTGAATGCCCTAGCATTTACTAGATTAGAGGGAGTCTGGTATATATAAGATGCTCACAACGTGACGGGACATCAGTGTAG